CAGATAATAAAATAGTAAATATTAAGTACTTAGTACTGGTGTACCCTTTGTTGATGAGAAAATGATATTTAAAAAAATTAATTTGATTTTTTTCTTATGCAAGTTTGATAAATTGAGACCAGATACAGAAAGATTTCTACTCAAAAGTAAAAATAAAAAAATTCAGAGATATTTTTATAAAGGTATAAAAATAATTCTTGTCGCACACAAAAATATAAATATGATTGTATTCATGATCTTAGCTGTTAAAGTACTAAAGTTATAATAAATTTTTGTTTACATTACTACATTTTGTTATCCTTTCTATCAAATAAGATCTTCAAATTAATTATAGCCTAAGTTCTTTTTCTTTTTTGTTCTTCTTTGAAATTTGTCCTCTTTGAATTATCTCTTTCCTGTGTTATTTTTCATATTGTCTTTTACTAGTGTAAAATTTTCATTGCCAATGTATTCATTAAATTAAAATAATTGAACGACTTAATTACGACAAAGTAAAGTATGTCGTATAATACCGTATTCTATTTAAATACATGTAGGTTTATAATGAATAGTAACTATATTCTCTTTCACTAATTAATAATTTTCAATTCCTAATGTATAACTCTTTTATTCATTGGCAATTGAAATGTATTATTTAGTGAAAAATACAGTTTCTTGTCTACATTACGAGATTTTCATTGAGAAAAACATTGTAATTTTTATTTTGTAGGGATTATGCCGTTACATTATGACTATTGCATATATTCAATTGATAAATAGATAATATGTCATTACTGGCTTTTTTCCCCTTTAATTCCTGACTTTAATTTATAATATTTTCCTTGACCTGGGAAAAAAGCAGGGCGCCCAAAAATATTTAATTGTGTAGTTGGTCATTTTTAGTTTCCATTTGGAATCTTGTTTATATTTATTCAGGAGGTCCTATATATACGAGTAAAGTTCAAGGTTTCTTATAGAATAAATGAATTAAGGTGATTTCATCGTATGTTCAAAATATAATTATCCAAAAATATAATTGTTTGACCTAGATTGAAATTTTGAATGGAATAAACTTAACTATACTCCGTTTTCCTTTTTTTTTTTTTTTAAAGAATTGTTATGTAGTTTTTCTTTGGCAGAAAATACAAAAAGAAGTGTAACATTAACTTTGGGCCCGACATTGACCAGACTTTCCATAACCCTTTTTAATTGTGATGTCCAGAAATAAATTAGAGCACTTGAAGAGATTTCCTAGCATTATCACAGGATTTCATGATGACAATAAGTCCCTTTCTCCCATACATAGCTAAACATGCAATACATCTCACAGAATACAATATTGATATCCCACTCATCATTATTCTGGGATATATTCCATGTTTTGCAATTTATGGGAGAAGACGACTCATTGTCAATATCCGTAGGATTTAACCCATTGGAACAAACGAGGGAGTAAAATTTTCATTGGGAAAATATCCCATCTGCCTTTTTTCTCCCATGGTAGAAAAAGCGGACTTAAAGTTATTATGAAGACTTAAAATCCTACCATTCTCCCATGAGATGTCATGATCTTTTCTATACATGAATGATCACTCTAAAAAAAGTTTTACTTGTTGTTTTTAAAATAAGATATTAGATTGAGAAAAACTAGTAATTATTAGTAATCCATTTAGTCAGAATAGCAAGTAAATGACTATCATGGTTAGTAATTGTAAACATAATTAGTAATAAGGATGAATTCATTTACTTATAAAATGTTTTACTAAATATCAATAGAGTTACTTAAATTATAGGAATTGTATTACTTTAAGTTAGTAAATGAACTACTCATTTTTGTTAAATTATTATTACTTAATTCAGAGATAATATGCTTTCTTTTTACTAAATTTTATGAATTATTACTAAGTAAATGTAATTCTGAAATTAATTAAAATCTAGAATATTATTACTTAAAAGAATACTAAGTAAATTAAATACTTATCATATTTACTAAAATCGACATTATTTACTAGAAACACTGCAAGGTACCGACCCTCTGACATGTGAGTACTACTCACAGATTTCTTTATCAGAGTTCCCTAATTGGGCCCTCTGAATGGTGAAATAGAAGAAATCTACTTATGATGGAAACAATTATACTTTCCATTTCTTTTGCCAATTTCTTTGTAACTGTTTTATTATATATAACAATAAAACATTTGATTCCAACTTCGAAAGCCTAAAAATTGAATAAGTTGTATTTTTTTAAGGACCATTTTAAAAATGGTTAAACATTTCAAGTACTTAATATCGCACTTTTATTAGTGTGACTTTTTTTTCACATGAAGGTATATTTAGATGAAAGATAACTCCTCCTCACAGACAATTAGTGATAAGACTACCATATTTAAGTAATTACTGATCTGAATTCTCCTTGATTTAGTAAATAAATTTTTGTTTTAAGTAAATCAATTAAATACAATTCAAACATGCAAGATGTGTTTGTGAAACACCTATGCCACTGTATGGCAACATAGCAAAGGTTAAACTTTTCTTAAATGCAAATTTAATTATTGGGATTTCTTGATATCTCCAAGGTCAAAAGGTCAAGGTTATTGGTATCTAATGAAAGGTCTTGCTACAAAAAAATACATATGTGAAATATGGAAACACTTGCCTCAACCCTTCAGAAGTTATGGTCAAGGTTGCCAATTTTGAAATGTAGGTCAAACTCCAAGGTCAAGGACAAAGGGACAGAGTTGGTGGTACCCAAAGAAAGGTCTTGTCACAAGGATGAACTATGTTAAGTATGAATGCACTAACCCCAATCCTTTTAAAGTTACAGTCAAGGTTTGCTTTTTAAAAGTGGGTCAAACTCCAAGGTCAAGGTCAAAGTTCTTGGTATCCTATAAATGGTCTTCTTAAAATGATTACATATATGTAAGTATGAAAGCACATTTCCTTACCGTTAAAAAGTAATGGCCAAGGTTAAAGTTTTTTCCCAAGGATGGAAATCTCCAGGGTCAAGGTCAAAATTTCATAGTTGTTGGTATTCAATGAAAGTTCTTTCAACAAAAAATATACATGTGAAGTATAAATGTCCTGGTATTTACTGTTTAAAAGATTTGGATAAAGAATAAGTTTGAATTTTTTGTGTATAAGGTCTTGTCACAAGGAATACACGTACGAAATATGAAAGTTATAGCTCCACTAAATCAAAAGTTATGGGCAAGGTTAAAGTTTCTGCGGATAAACAGAGAATCAGAGAGACAGCTAGACAGACAGACGGAAACGACAAAAACTATATACATGTACCCCCGAAACTTCGTTTACGGGGGCATTAAAATATTAATTATATAGTAAATAGTGGTAAAATGTAATTATTAAAGACCAAGTAAAGTTATTACTTATATACACAAATTTAAGTAAATATAAATTACTAAGTAAAACTTTTCAGTGTGTAAGTAAAACATTTTTTTAAAATACAAAAATCAAGTAAAACATTTGAATCTAGTAATTGACATATATTTCAGTAATTGATTTTAAATTTTAAGTAAATGCTTAGTAATTATCTATTACTTATCTTTGTATTTTCAAGTAAAAATTGACTACTAAGTAAAACTTTTTTAAGAGTGATATTATTTGCACTAAATTGTATTTTTGTGTAAATTAAACAATATGCACAGCTGTAATCAAATGATTACACGCACATAACAAATTGTCAGGTGAAATAGTTTCTTACATTGAGATTTTTCTCCAATGAATTTGTTCAAATGGGATAAATACCCTGGATTTTGACAATGAAACATGTTTTTCCATGGAAGAAAGTTTGGATACTTGTCTGGACTAAAAATCCTACCATGGGATTCTAAAGTTTAGGACTTTCTACCTTTTTAAAAAGAGATGCTTGTGAATTTAACATGAGACCCTTTGACGCTGCTGAGAAATTCAATCAATTGCTACAATACTTAATATCTGAACATCACAGATATGAAAGTAAAAAGTCTGGACAATGTCGTGTTCAGAGTCAAATGTCGCATTGTTTTTAAGAGTTACAAGTGATGTATGTACTTAATGTAAAGTCACATGAATATGTCCTAATAATTCAATTAACCATTATTATGCAATATGAATTAATATCTATACATCTCTTCAAACCAAATGTTTCCATGAAATTATAAATTTCTGTTTTCTTTAAATTTCTCGGTTTTCTTGTAAAATATGAAAACAAATTAAAAACTTACTCGAAGTTCGAAAACTACAATATTCCAGTACAAGTGCAAATTAAACTTAACATTCACAGTCTTTTTTCACCATGTGAAAATACCTTTGTTAAGCAGTTCAATTTTATTATTTATTGACAATTCAAAATTCTTTTAAAGACTACTCTTTATAGAAGTAGCTAAATATATTTTAAATATCGTGATAAGAAATATTGTTTTTCCTCGATGTTAATCCTTGTTTTACGGTAGGTTACTTAATTTCAAACTTAAGTAATAATATGGATTTAAAGACTCCAAGAGCAAAGAAAGATAATTCAATATGCACACGTCTTGCATATTGACCCAACAACCAAAAATTTATGTTTATCTTTTATGTAACTGTAAGAATCGGAATAATTGTAGCTGTCATTTAACTATTTGTAAAGATCAAAATATTACATATCTTTTCTATTAGTACCTTTGAAATAAGATGAAAATCACACAAAAACCTTTACAAGAATTAAATTGATAACTTTTACGTCTTTAATCAAACGAAAGTTTTACGATTGAATTGCGATTAAAATTTGATTGATCATTCAACCATATTACTAATGAATAAAAAAAAGTTTCTGGAACAAAAGTCAAATTTGTCCCCAAAAAGTTTTTTTTTTCAAATCAAAGGATCAAAATAGTGTAATTAAGAAAAGTATAAGAGAATCAACGTAAAGTTTATATCTCAATATCCTTGTATAGCCATAATGCCTTTAAAAGACGTAAGGAAGCATATCAGTGTCGCAAATCTCTCTCGGACAGTCGAAATCCCCTCCTTCTCCCAATACCCCATTTATCTACACAAAGATACGGAATAATTTGAATTCTTTTCTAATTTACTGACAACTACCCGTGATAATTTACCGCCGGATTTGCAATATTTAAACAGAATTTAAGCTTTTGGGGCCGATCCATGTTTGTCGAAAGATTTTGAAACAAATGATAACGCCGACTGCCCGCCTCAATTTGTGACGATCTTTCTTTGTTGCCCGAGGATCAAGGATAATTCTGAACAAGATCTCTGGAACGTTTTAGAGGAGTCCGTTGTATTTACATTTTACCCCGAGTACAATTGACTGCGACAAGCATTTTGAGCACTCTGACCCTCAGAAAGACGGTGATCTATCAACAAAATAGAGAAGTCTTCATTTGTGAGAACCGTAACCAACTCCTTGGATTAGACTGAATGATGTCGGTTTAGTAGATGGGTCAATTTCACACGTTCTAGGTAGGTGATCTGTCTTTTTTCCTTTAATTTATTGTACCTGCCTTTTAAGAATTTTTATTGAAGAACACAAGATTACAAGTCGCAGACAAGCAATTCAAAACATCAAAGCATGCATCATTATTATGTTAAGACTTTTAGTTAAATTGCAAAAACCCCATAGATAATATAGAATGGTTCAGTATGTAATATGCTGAACATCAAAAAACAAACAGCATAGGCATGTTTTGATTAACAAGCAATTAAACATTTTTTAATGTTCATTTTTAAAGTAAAAGTTATAGGAAAATAAATTTCTGGTTTGTTTATGACCTAAGCTACTGCAATAGGTCTATATTGCAATTGTATTGACGTATTGCGATCTTCCTGGATTTAAAAATCACCTTACATGTCGTAAATTACAAATAGGGTATCAATATTTAAAAGCCTCAAGTAAAACCGCAATATTTCTTTAATTTTTCAGAATTGAAAAATCAGTGGTTGGCAGCTATTTTTGCCCTGTATAAAGTCTGATTAATATTATTTTGATTTGATAAATTTCAAAATGTGAATTACTTTGTCCCAAATTTTCAAAAATGAATATTTTCTGTTTTCTTTTTATTTATTTTCAAGATCTGTATGCTATGATACTTAGTCATTATCTAAGACCGTCAATATCTCTCATTTTTTCTGCAAAGATGGAAAATATATAAACTGAGAGACAGCACAATGCAATGTTAAATTTGCAAATTTTCCTTGAAAAGGTTCAGTGAATTAAAGACTATATTACTATATTTAAAGACTAAATTATATTTTATTACTATATTTAAAGACTAATTTACAATATTTTTACTGTGGTTTTTTTTCATACAAATAAGCATATTTTTTTGAATACTAATTACATTCTGGTTCAGCTCCAAGAAATATAGCTTCAAGTATGTATGCCCGCGAGATTCAGTTGTTCCCGATTTGTATAAAATGCCATTTTTCGAAAGCCAAAACAAGAAAATAAATTACTAAAAACGAATAGGCAACACAATAAAATGTTTGATTTGGGCTACTTGTCTTGGACTGGTCATTTTTTAAAGCCTACTCAATATGGTAATGCAGGAAATACTTGGTCTTGGTTGAATATAGGTCAGAGCTACTTTGCCTGGATATAACGAAGCTGTGTGACTAGGGAAGAAAATGATAACAGACAATGGCTCTAGGCATCCAGACGACTCCGCCAGCTATAAAGTTTGACCAATCACAGCCAAACAATGACAACTAGAAATTTACGATGTTTTCGTAGATTAATGAATCACTAGCAGGCACTTAAAGATGGGCTTAATCTAAATTAAAGAACTGTTACTAACTAAACGTGAAATTCCTTTCTATTTTGCATGCTTCTTTATTGCATTTGATATGACGTCATAGAGTACAATGTGTATGCGATATGAGAGTTCCGTATATGATACGGATTTGTTTCATTGATATTGTATTCAATAAACCTCTATTTCCGCGGTTTTAGTTGTAAGACTTTGTCGTATATTTGCGATAACATTCAAAGAAGTTCCCAAAAATTGGAGTTTGGCACAATGAAAAAACGATAAGGATTTTTTCGGAAACGAGTATAATTCTTGAAACCAAATATTTTCTTACGTGTATTACAAAATTTCTTGGCACAAAACACAAGATAAATAATTGTTTAGAAGCATTTAATGAGGAACAGGTAAATTTGATTCTCCTGTAGCAGACAGTGGTTTCTTGCATCATAACGGATTCGTAATAATGACTAGCTCTACAAGTGGGTGTTCGCAGCTAATCAGACAGGTATTAGCTTCACCAGATTCTTCCCTTTTATCCTTTCTAAGACATTTCATCAATCACACCAAATCTGCCAAGATTTCTTTCAGAGGAAAAACACAATTGCAGTCCACTAATTATGATTGCCCTCAAATAGGCTACATTTTTGCAAAACTTGAATTTTGCTTTTTGCAGCAGAAAAACTTTTCCAGAAAATCCATTTTCTTTCAGCAATCTTGCCAGAGGAAAAAAGAGATCAAATAAATTATCTCAGAATTAAAGGAAAAGTTTTAAATGGCCCCTTGTTGGACAAACTTGGGTATCAAATTCAAATAATCCAAAAAACAAATTTACTTAGATTCACAAAGAGAACGGGCATCTAAAATTTGACAAACACTCTAGCTAAAGTTTGTAACTTGACTGCACCCTCCCAGGTGATTTTGGAATATCAATTTTGATGTTTTGTCCTGTCTGCTAATTGAAGAGGCTTGTCTTTGTAAACTAACTGTTGAGTTGGCTAATAGTAGACAAGGGTTATGACAATCAATAGAGGGATGCCTGTGATCTAAACGAAACCGACACCGGAATTTTTTTATTTAAACAAACTCCAACATTTCTGTTGATACTGATTTCGAATTTTAATAAATATAATATGGAGATGTCGATGACCTTTTATCCCAACGTTCCGGCATCCAACTTTTACCAAATATCGACTTACCAATTCAACAAGGTTACGTTGCCTAGTTGAATTGAATCACCCTGCTCGGATTCAAAGAAAACTATCAAGTGTTTCCTTAATTGCTTCGTACCCTAATCACTTGCACAATGAAGAGTGTTGCTCGGGAGTCTCAGTATTGGTTCGTGCAAGTCGATGAGGAAATTCGAGATTAAAATATCTAATGTAAATCACCAATGTATATATAGACCTTATGGCCGATGCATACAAAAATAGAACTACAAAACGTTTTTAGTCAGAAAGGCGTATCAATGTACTTGCGAGTAAATAAGGTTTGAATTCCTAAATTATGACGAAAATACTCGGTTAACTAGATAAATAGATGCCATCTGTTAAATCTGATGTACAATTAAAGAATCATTAGTTTAAAAAAGTTTTTGGTTTTGTCCTTTAACATTCAAAAAGAATAAGACGATTAATATTATAATTCTGTCATTAACATAACTTTCAATTATCACTTGTCCATTGGCTCAAGCCCGAAAAAGTTTGGGACTTTATAATGTAATATTTTTTACTATCCTTTTTTTTTTTTAAATTTCTCATATTGGCTGTAAATTTTTGCCTTTGTGCATTTATTTTATTTGCAGGTTTGGGCGCCTAATAATTGATTAATTTCATGAATCATTATTATTAGAGTAAAACAGAAAGGTTAATTTATAAATTTATTTTTGAAACCACCTAAAATAGATGTAAATGTGTGTATTAGCTTTGAAATCACTCTAAGCGTGTTTTAGCTACAGAACCGAAAATATTCATTTTTTTTCTCCCTTGAAATTAAGACCACACAAGATAAAGGAAGAGAAGTATTAAGAGATTTTTTTGTTCCATATAATGCTTCGTTATTTGGGATAATGGGATGAGCAAGGTGATTCATAGTCAATCCATGAATCTTATCTTACCCAGAGATCATTGCGATAATATTCAATAGAAGCCCGATCCCGACCTTTACTGGGTGCACTAAGAGAATTTAAGGTTGTGTCCGCTATTTTCACACACAACTAATTTTATACCAACATATCGATGGAGGTTTATCACCCGGAAAGACGTTCCTGAGAAAAAAAAATATCTAAAGGTTTGAATGGACAAATTCCAACAGTGTATACTGAAAGACAAATTTCCCTTTCTTGGATATTTATTGACATATGAAGACAAAAACTAATTATAAAATTTGTTAAGGGACATACATTTTTAATGAAAATTACAGAAAAAAAGTCATAAGTCAATGCTATTTGAAGAACTTTAACGCTCGATCAAATATTTTTCGATAACTTCCACTTTCTTCAAATAAAATATACAATTAAATTTACACATTTTTCTTAAAGATTTACAGAAAAAAAAATAACGATAATAAAGAGACCTCGAATATTTTTTTTTTTTACTTTTTCGGAAGAGTCAAATATTGAAAATAGGAAATATTAAATTGTTTCTTTGAAAAATGATTGTGGTTGATTTAAAAAAAAAATAATAACGATACCAGAAGTCTCTGTCGAGACTGTAGCTCTACTGGTTTGTACTTAGCATTTTAAAGGAATTTCACAGAAAATTCTATTTTTAGTAACCATGGCAACACTGTTCATTGAAATCAAAAACCGATGCACTATTCTATGTATCTTAGTGTAGTCTACTTGTGTGCCAAGTTATATTGAAATCAGACCAAAACTGTAGGAGGAGTAGCGTTTTAAAGGAATTTCACAGAAAATTCTATTTTTAGTAACCATGGCAACACCGTTCATTGAAATCAAAAATAGATGCACAGAATTACGTATCTTAGAGTAGTTAACTTGTGTGCCAAGTTATATTGAAATCAGACCAAAACTGTAGGAGGAGTAGCGTTTTAAAGGAATTTCACAGAAAATTCTATTTTTAGTAACCATGGCAACACCGTTCATTGAAATCAAAAACCGATGCACTATTCTATGTATCTTAGTGTAGTCTACTTGTGTGTCAAGTTATATTGAAATCAGACAAAAACTGTAGAAGGAGTAGCGTTTGAAAGGAATTTCACAGAAAATTCTATTTTTAGTAACCATGGCAACACCATTCATTGAAATCAAAAACCGATGCACTATTCTATGTATCTTAGTGTAGTCTACTTGTGTGCCAAGTTATATTGAAATCAGACAAAAACTGTAGAAGGAGTAGCGTTTCAAAGGAATTTCACAGAAAATTCTATTTTTAGTAACAATGGCAACACCGTTCAACGAAATTAAAAACCGATGCACTATTCTATGTATCTTAGTGTAGTCTACTTGTGTGCCAAGTTATATTGAAATCAGACCAAAACTGTAGAAGGAGTAGCATTTTAAAGGAATTTCAGAGAAAATTCTAATTTTAGTAACCATGGCAACACCGTTCATTGAAATTAAAAACCGATGCACTATTCTATGTATCTTACTGTAGTCTACTTGTGTGCCAAGTTATATTGAAATCAGACCAAAACTGTAGAAGGAGTAGCATTTTAAAGGAATTTCAGAGAAAATTCTATTTTTAGTAACCATGGCAACACCGTTCATCGAAATTAAAAACCGATGCACTATTCTATGTATTTTAGTGTAGTCTACTTGTGTGCCAAGTTATATTGAAATCAGACAAAAACTGTAGAAGGAGTAGCGTTTGAAAGGAATTTCACAGAAAATTCTATTTTTAGTAACCATGGCAACACCATTCATTGAAATCAAAAACCGATGCACTATTCTATGTATCTTAGTGTAGTCTACTTGTGTGCCAAGTTATATTGAAATCAGACAAAAACTGTAGAAGGAGTAGCGTTTCAAAGGAATTTCACAGAAAATTCTATTTTTAGTAACAATGGCAACACCGTTCAACGAAATTAAAAACCGATGCACTATTCTATGTATCTTAGTGTAGTCTAATTGTGTGCCAAGTTATATTGAAATCAGACCAAAACTGTAGAAGGAGTAGCATTTTAAAGGAATTTCAGAGAAAATTCTATTTTTAGTAACCATGGCAACACCGTTCATTGAAATTAAAAACCGATGCACTATTCTATGTATCTTACTGTAGTCTACTTGTGTGCCAAGTTATATTGAAATCAGACCAAAACTGTAGAAGGAGTAGCATTTTAAAGGAATTTCATAGAAAATTCTATTTTTAGTAACCATGGCAACACCGTTCATCGAAATTAAAAACCGATGCACTATTCTATGTATTTTAGTGTAGTCTACTTGTATGCCAAGTTATATTGAAATCAGTCCAAAACTGTAGGAGGAGTAGCGTTTTGAAAAATTGTTTACAGACAGACGGACAGACAGACGGACAGACAGACAGACAGACAGACAGACGGACGGACGCCGGACGCATTACTATCGCATAAGCTCTTCTGGTCTCTGACCAGTAGAGCTAATAAAGAGACCGAGAGTAATTTTTTTTTTACTTTTTCGGAAGAGTCAAATATTGGAAATAGGAAATATTAACTTGTTTCTTTAAAAAATGATTTTGGTTGATTTAAAAAAAATGAAACTTTAAGTGTCCGCCTCACAGTAGGTAACACTTAGATTTCCGTTTCATTGCGTGTTGTATTTACGGTCTCACAAAATATTACATTAACTTATATCAGCCGCAAGAAAAAACTGATACTAAGACTCAAAAGGATTTTTAGAAAAAAAATGTTTGTAAATTTGCCATTTATCATGGCTTAAATAGATGTCACAACAAAACACGCTAGATCGGAATACACACCCCTTTTTTCGAGCTTATCGTTTCATGTGGTTTATTTAATTCTATGATCTCGGGTGTTCTTTTAAGAATAAAAGTTTAAATCAGATGCAAGCACAATGTAATCTTGCTGTGAATTCATCATTGAGATATGCAGTCTCAATAAATTCAACAGACCAGAAATTTCACACTTGAGAATACCCTGTAATTTTTACTAACAAGGTAATGATGCTAGTGGTTTTTCGACAGGATTAAATACACGTTTAAACCAATTCCAAAAGAGTATGTTGTCAAAATCTTTCATCATTATGACATCACATTGTGCAACGAGGCAGAAGGTTTCCTTCACATATTCTGAAGAAAAATTCTACATTCCGTTGAGTCTTGTCTTAAAAAAAGTCTAATCAATAATACCAGTACATTAACCTTAAGTATGTTGAAATTTTAACCTTTGGTATGCTACAATCTGAATTTATCTGTACTATTGCAATGAAAAGGTTAAATGAACAGACAACTGTATTGTCATTCTAACTCATCATTTAAATCACTTTTATTGTTTAAAAACTAGAAGGTGTAAATAGGTTGTGTGTTTAAAGAAATAAACTCGACCCTCTGCTATTGTTTATCATTATTTCAAGATTAATATCGGTTTTTAACAGGTGCTCTTTTCTTGTCGTTCCCAGAGGTATGCCAAGGACCATATAAACACATTCACAAAATATTGTTCATATCCTTCAATATTGAGATCATTTGAGTAAGTGTTCATGCAAGTTCATGTAGTCTTGAAATTATAAGCAAGGTGATTTGTATTCCAATAGACTGAATCTAAAGAAAATGGCCAAGTTTTTCTAAAGTTTAATTTATTCTTTTACAATTTCAAAAATAAAAATGAAAAGAAACAAATAAAATAAAACCAATAATAAAAAAACAAATCTAATTCATAAATAAATAAACAAAGCAAACAAGCAAGGACTATATTGCGTTCCTGTTACTGAGAATTTAAGGCGCCATAATTTCCTCCATCGGGAAAACGTGCTATATCTTTTTCCATGCCATTCAAAACACACCCCCGTGTCTGTTTTAGTATTATTTTCTTCTGTTTGTAGTGATACAGTATCAAACGGAATAAATGAGTGAAAGTTCGTTTGTTGGTGCAGCGAGTATATAATAAATTTGTGGAGTGTGATTAGGAGCAAACTAGTACAAGAGCGAAAAGCTTTCATCGCAACGCACGTGTTTGCAACATGCGCGCGTTCTGGGGTTTCATCAAATAAATGTGTACTTCTTATTTCCGATTTTAATGGTAAACATACTCTGATTACAATCTAAGCCATACAAGCTTGGAAGAAAACACAAAACCAAAAGATAAATTTATGTAGCATTATATACTTTGAAGGTTTTCTTGTTTGAGCTGTGTTTGTTGAAAGTTTAACAAAACTGTTACATCCCGATCTCAGGAACATAGTTATGTAATTTAGAAAATCTTCGAAAGAATTTAACGTCCGTAGTATAATCTTTCTTCTAAAAAACCCCAAAATAAGCCACTCAGCTACTAGGAAAATGAACAAAATGCTTACGAAATCGCTTTTCCCGCATTTGACTATTTTTTGATTGTTGACATTACGGCATATATATCCTATTATTCTTTCTACAATCCGTTTATTTCTTGATCTTTTCACTTGTTTTTCCTTTTCATGAAGTATAAAGTTTGATATAAATTGGGATAAAAAGTGTCAATCCGTGAAGTGACAAGAATTCGTGTTTCGCTAATATTAATAAACCCCTTTGAGACTTTTAATTTATCCCGTCCCCTTTCTGTTCATGGCTTCTTGATTTCTTTGCTTGTCATTAGTAACGAAAAGGGAGGTATAACAGATGATTAAACCGTGAAAGACCATCATGAAATGTTGCCCTTCTTCCCCTCCCCGAAAACGTTTATTAGAAATGATTTTCTAGCAAAAGTTCGTAAAACTGAAGGCAGCGGTAAGTTTTCAGCATGCATTATTATTTTTTAAAACTAATTTATATTTTATGTGAGAAATTGACAACCTTTATAGTGTTAAACTAAATGAATTTTGATAAAAAATTAAGCGACTTCCTTTTTATTATCAATTACACAATTCTGAATTATTTTTTTTCTGTTTAAATCGATGGCCTGCAAGTAATCTTTCAACATGTTCAATTTTTCCGTCTAAATTGAATTTGATTTTGAATTAAAATATCAACGATTGAAATTCATTTTTTTTCTTTAAACTTCTTAAAACTAAATTATATGCTAAGGGAAAAACGCAAAATTTAGATAAGATTAAGCATCAAATACTTGAGTTAATTTTAAATAATTGGCTGCTGTTTCATATCTGAAGAAAACCTCAAGGTCGTTATGGGTTATATCGATTATTTCTCCCGAAAATTTCAAGTACCCTCTTTTATGTTTTATGATTATAGCAACAACTTCTTCATAGGTGAAATATAGACAAGCATGTCTGGGTTTTTTTCCTCTTATCTTTTTTTTTTTTTTTGGGGATTCATTCTTACAATACAATTTTATATTGAAACATGTACAAGCGATATATTTGAAAATCAATTTTAATCCCATATTATTATAAATATAGAAATATGCATTGATAAAAAAAATGGATGAATCATAATTTAATAGTATATATAACCTTTTACACGACACATAAATATGTTCAAAAGACCAATTGTTATTTAAATTTTTTTGCCCTCAGTTTTATATGTGAAAAAAGGTTTTGATAAAGCTAAAATACCAAAATCACACACTATTTGTTAGTAATGCGTGTGAACTCCAATCTTTAATCCTTTCTGTCTTTTTTTATTTCCTTATTAAATTATACGATAAAACCCCCTTCCAAGATATGGATCAAAAACATCCATATAAAATTGAAATTTATGAGGCAGAAAGGGTAATTTAAATCATTTATATCACAGTTATTTCTGCATAAGTTAAAAGCGATTTTTATTCATATAGTGAACGTTAGACACTAAAGAAAAATTGAAAATATGAAAATAAGTAAATACAAACATTAGAATAGTGAACTATGGCACCATTGATATCGACGTAGTAATCACAGCAGTGCGTGTTTACAACAGAATCGTGGAGGTGTGTGTGTTTCATTCGCTTAGGGTTTTTTTTCTTTCTTCTTCAGATGACCACATCGATGACGAATTTCATTTTGGGATTCAGAAATTCAATGAAGCATGAAGATCATCCACGCATTCATTCCACATAATCCATTTTGTCATGGGCTTGACCAAATTACGGTTCTTTTCTATTCATTATCCAAACTCGTCACAAACGTTTAATTTCTTATGGACGTGGCATTAAGCGTGCATTTTCTGAATGGAAGAACATACCTCAACAGAGAACAATCAACTTCGAACTTCAAATCATTCCAAGACTAAACGACGAATTCGATGGAGAATATTTTTATTCAGAAAAAGCCGAATATTATTGTGTTTCAAAGACATGGTGTTTTTCATTACAGTATTTCTCATATTCACAAGTAGTGTTGTAAGGTATGTATAAATTATAGTATAATAATGAATAATAATTAATTAATTCAATATAAAACACAATTCTATGTTCAAGAAAATATATATTGTCTCAATATTAAATCATTTTAAAATATAGTCATTAATGATACACAGCACTTTTTTCAAGCAGAGCATCAGAATTTTAAGCTGTTAGTTTCGTGTAGTTATGCCATGCCAAAGCATTCGAATTTATAAGCAATTGAATATTGAATGAGACTTTATTTGACATACTTGACTTTGTTGTTTACAGTTTTGAGGGATATTATTATCAAAGATAAAAAAAATAATTTAAATCCTTTGAATTTAAAAATGCTGAATAAATTTAGACATTGCCTGTTTTTTTTCTTCATAGAAACATATTTATATATGTTTTAAGGATATTAAATGTAACAGTTAAACACAATATTAAAATTGTCCTTACATATCAAGAATATTAATTATCACCTACGTGTAAAATGATAACAAACATCTGTGTCCTATAGTATTGGATGTTTTAAAGAAAATAATCTCAAAATGTCCTGATATTTCTCACCTTGCAGGTGATAAATTAAATATATTTCATGACTAAATGTAGTTTTAGAATACACAAATAACACACATGTAACTTTCTGAATCCCAAAAGAATAACAAAATAAATTGAATTAAAAGCAAGTTCCTTAATATGATAAACAGCTGACGAAAATATTTTCTGAAACTTTAAAAATGAAATTGTACCGAAGTTTTACTTTTCTTTGTCATTTTAACGAAATACCGAAGGTCCATATATGTAATGTCGTGGTTTGTTAATTTAGAAGCGTAATTGTACCTGCAATCAAACGGTTTCAAATTGTTAAATGTCTTGTTTGTCTACGATTATGGTTGCGAATCAGCGTTGTTATTATCTGAAGGGCCGTGAAATCTATCATTTCGAACACTAAGAGAACAAATAATGTAGAATGACAAGACGTTCCTTCTATGTTTCATTCACACCGTGGTGCGAAATTCACGAGGTTGTCCAAATGTGTTTAACCACATTAAAGTATTTGTATATCTTAATGATTAATTTACTTTGATTCGATGTTTACCCTAAATAAGGTCGCCTTTCGGATACTCTCGCCTCGGGACATGAGATGTCAATAGACCTTTAAAAATCTTAGTCCCCCCAAAAAAAAATTAGAAAAGGGTGTTTGTTTACTTATCTAAACCAATTTCTTTTCTATTTGGTTTTTCATTAGTTCGTAATTTATTTGCTTAGTAGAAAGTAGGAGGGAAAGAAATAAAAGAAATATATTGAATGGATTTTTGCAATGGTTAATATCAAAGGGAAACCGCGGCCCAACAAGAGCACCTGCGGAAACCCCCCATGTTGAACGGAATTTTGTAGAGTCCCTTCGGTGATCGGGTGTGACCTCTGAGTCCTCTCCTGTTTTTATGACTAACTCACAGTTCAATAGGACATGAGAAATGCCAATCAACTCCTATCATTCTTTGTATAAGATAAATAATGGTTAACATTCCAACAATATTTTGTAACTGCAAGAAAGGACTTTCGATATTTACATTGAAACATACCGTTTTCTTTTTTACATCTTGAACTTGTTAACATGTTAAAATTTTATAAAAAGTAATTTCGTACTCTGTTCTCTATACTTATAAATGTATGATCTACTCTCAACATCCCTCCATAAAACTAAATGCAAAATAAGAAGATACATGTAAATAATAGAGTAATATGTATTACATTTTGTTTTTATACTAAAATAGGTTCTATACAAAGTACATGTATAAAATTATATAAAACCCGTCTCCAAGTACATACGAGTTCTACAATGGTACATGTATTTTATAAATCTAGACAAGATCAAAGACCGATTCTTATTTTCAATGTGCATTAACTTTTTTTAAACAGGGGGATGAGCAACGATATTTTACGATTGAATATACCTCCCAAGGAACCTAAACTAGATCCTAACACCGTCTGTAAGACGTTTCCTGATTTGACGCCAAGACAATACACGCTGTGTAGCATGTACCCTGACGTCACAGCATCCGCCATTCAGGGTATACAAGTTGGCGTACACGAATGTCAGAACCAACTGAAGGACAACAGATGGAATTGCTCTTCGCTGGAGAAGAAAAATAAAAATCCTCATGCAAGTCCACTGTTAAAGAGAGGTATACATTGCAAATGTTTCCAACTAAATTTATGTTTTTGGTACTTACTAACTGTATAGAGACGAGTTTATGGTTAAAAAGGTACCAATGATGTTCAAATGAATTAAATTTTATTCAAGTATGATTTATTTATATAAAGCTTAAGTTGAAATATGGATACCTCGGTAAAGATCTCGCACAAAACCTTCTGTATAGTTGAGCGAAAAATATATTGTTTGTCTCCTCCAATTTTTAAAGAGGTGAATTTCAAGATCAAAGATCAAATATTAAAAATTCCATGCGATCTGTTTAGTCAGACAGTTTAGATAAAATCGTTTACTTGATTTCAGAAATCTAAACTGAAACAACTATAGTGACCATAAATAAATTCTTTAAGATGCTTCACGTGCACACTCATCAGAATTAGCTGTTTTAAGAAAAAAAAATATTTCAGGATAACTGAAACAGAAATTCAGATCAATTTCCCCCAATTCAGATGCACACTGGAAAAATGCAGATAAATGCAAGTTTTTCATCATTCATTTTCATATAAGAAGCTCATTATCTTAAGAATTACGAGTCGTTTTGGTATGGGATGTCATACGTCATGTGCACCTTTAGGTTTGCTTTTCAATGGAAGAGATAATTTCCGTAAAATAGAGATATCCGTACGATATTACTCAACAGAACTCTCGTAAATCTGCCTTAACCATACACTGTGGTATGCTAAGTATACGTTTCTTTTAAAAAGCTGATTTTGTGTAGACCTGTAAAATTATACCCAAAAGAAACATGGTTAAGGTCCATTCAGCAAGGTAAACGTTTTGTAAACGTCTTCTTTCATGGTGATGCAATTAAATGAAATTTACACGCAAAAAATCCAAGGCGTTTGTTTGGAGATACTCGAAAACCTTTGTTCTGCTGCCCTATACTGTTACAAGGAATCAGAATTATAGCAATGTATTCACGGTTTGTCGTCGCATTAGAGACATATTTAGTCTTGTTAGTAATAACAGTTTGTCAGTATTTGGCTGGGGTCGCTTTGATGTTTTTGTGTTGCAGGAAAACTCAGGTAATAGGCTTGACCACAATGACACAGGTGTGTCGGAATCTCAGGCGCTGACAAATAAAACGAAAACGTAAAGCATGTTATTAAACTTGCCCATGAGTAAAGTGTAAATAATAACGATATTTGTTTTCAGCAGGACAGTTCAGTAAAAAAGTTTCTCTATTGTAATCATAATATAATAACGATTGTTTCTTACGTTCATGTTTTGGTGTCTTTGAGATCTGAGGTGTTAAGAAAGAGCTACACCAGTTTTTCGTGTCTCAAAGTGGAACCAACTTATCTGCAGAAAACAAATTAATACAAGAATCGTGATCATAAATATAACAATGAAACAGTCTGGAGCCAAAGCTTTTGTGCGTTTTTCTGCAGTTATTTTCATAACAATTTTTAGAATGTCTTCTTAATTCCTTAAGTGTTTGCCTCTTTGATGTAATATCGAAAATAAACCGCTATCGCTATCGCATGCAATATTTAATGACAGTATCTCCAGTCAATGAAAATCATATATCGGAACATCTAAGGTGCATATCACACTCAATTTTTCCTCATTATTTCAGAATTTATGGCCTATCTATCAGCGCGATGAGAAAAAAAGATAATGCCGTAGTTCGTCTCGAGTTTCTTCCGCTATGTGTTTACGTTTTTCTCCAAGCTTACAACACCAAAACATGGCCTTTTATCCTTTCCAAGTTTGATCTTTCAGGCCTAAACAAAGTCATTTATCTTGATTAAGATATTAGACTATTCCAGACGCATGCTGAAAAGTGTCTTGTATCAAAATTAGCACTATATAATCTGCCGCCCACTTAACCGGTCCAGTTCGATACTACTAGTATAGAATATATGAGAGAGAACTACTAATTCCAGACACGTTTTTCACCAAGTTAGAAGAAATATTTAAAAACAGTTCTCACCTTAACAGGATTAGCAATCTGTCAGGTTACTTAGTTTTCGTTGCGAAAAAGAAGCAAAATTTTCGATTTCCTCATTGTGTGTGAGTTAAAGGATTAATGATAAAGAGCTTTAAAATTTGTTCAGCTGGAAGAGTTAAACTCTACAAAAAGCAAATATCGACCAAACTCTTCTGCCTTAAAAAGGCTGACCCAAAGAATTTGTAAGAACACTGAAAAGAGTGAAGAAATGTAAATTTTACATATCCTCAGACTTAGTCTGTTCAGACACAAGTAGTTAAATAAATACACAGACAATGTAACAAAATAGCATCTATTTGAATGTCCAAATTCCAACGTTGATTGCTGAAAAAAATTTGTAAAGTAAAATTGCAAACAATTACTATACATGTGTCTATCATTTCCCTTTTCCATCAGGTTACCGTGAAACCGCCTTTGCCTACGCCATTTCCGCCGCCGGAGTTGTCCACCAGGTGGCAGTTGCATGTAGTCTGGGAAAACTGAAGTCCTGTGGCTGCGACATGAGTCGACGAGGGAAAGTTAGGAAATGGGAATGGGGAGGATGCAGCCACAATGTTGACTTCGGTGAACAGTTTTCTAAGAAGTTTCTGGATTCTAAAGAAAAACGCTCCAAAGACATACATGCCAAAATTAATTTACACAACAACAGAGCTGGAAGATTGGTAATTATAATAAATTTTCTTTTCATATTGGAAATATATTCATAGAGTTTTTATTCATACCAGAGCTATAAGCTTTCAAAATGCAGGCTTAACGCTTTAGATGAAGTCTGCTTTCCCTTAACAAATACTATAGTATACGGGATGCGGTATGGAAAATGTAATTCAACAGTTCCCTGCTTTCTCTCTGCAGTTACTACTGTTGGTTTATACATAATGAATTATACATATTAGTGTTATCAATATTTAAATATGTAACTATGGGATCGGACTTTTAAAAAAAAAGTTTTAAAAAAATTTAACTTTTCTTGAACGAATACCAGTTATCAGTTAATCTGGAAAGTCCCAATAGTGGGCGAAGATGACTTACACATAATACAGTGGAATTTCCAAGTTTATAGTCCATTCTTTTCTGTATGGTACGAAATAAATTATCCTTTTTGTATAGTGAAAGTTAAACGGTTAGATCAAACGCGGGGAAACCCCATAAATCTGACTACTTGAAAATGATACATTTACTTAATTGGTGTATGACTTTCAGTATCATTAGATGTTATAACTTCTAAAGAATAGACGCGTCTACTGATTAGCTTGATTAAGATTTTCATGCAACTTAGTCATATTTGATATTAGTTCTGAGTTATCATTAATTGCTATTAAAAGATATGTGTCATTTACACCTTTGATTAAGTATTAACTTTAGTCAGACGCATCAACGCCACACGCACCGAAAGTTACATGACTAATTGATTAGGAATAATTAATAGACTAAGTGAGGATGGAGTCTTAGAAGAATAATTAAAGTGAACAACGAATGGTTCAAATATTCAACAAATTATAATAATTACACGCATTTTATCTTTGCAATAATTCTGATAGAATAATAACTTAGCAAAAATATATTCAATTGAATTTTATACAATTGATATAATAACAGTATCATTCCTGTTCAATGTATTATGCTCATTCTAATCAATTTAAATATTTCTTTTAATTCACTTTGTCCATTAGGCCGTCATTAGAAACGTCAATAGGAAGTGTAAATGTCATGGAATGTCCGGAAGTTGCGAAATGCAGACCTGTTGGAAAGCAACTCCAGATTTTAAGGAGGTTGGGAATCGTTTAAGGCGGAAGTACAGGTCGGCAAGAAAGGTAAAGGTAAATGTTCTTTGTTGTAAGCCTTTTTAAAATAGATTTTCTTTCAGATTCTTTTACGTAGTTGCAACTTTGTGATTTTTTGGTTTATTTTTATGCAGTTTGTGCTATGCCGTCCTCTTGTTTTACTTTATTTTTTTTTTTGTACACCTATAAAAGAATCTATGTCGGTACTTGCTTATGTTTTACTCCATTACTCGTTCGACATACATGTGGTATCAATCCATTTTTTCATATTACATGAAAAATACACGGGATAACTTATGAATTAAGCTTAAGATGAAAAAAGAATGAAGCGGAAACACTACTTAAACATTTTCATTGTTTCTTTCAGGTTGACGTTCTCAACAAGGTGAAAACACATTATAAGAAAATCAGAAAATATACACGAAAAACTGATCTTCTTTTCTACGAACAATCTCCGAATTATTGTGATCCTAATCCGGAAGTAGATGCGCCAGGGACCTCTGGCAGACTTTGCAATAAGACAAGTTCAGGGGCAGATAATTGTGAAACTTTGTGTTGTGGGCGTGGTTATAACACGCTGAGAGTGAGACGGACAGAAAGGTGCGATTGCAAATTCCACTGGTGTTGTTACGTCGTATGCCAAACCTGTGAATATAATGAGTGGGTCACAGTTTGTAAATAATGATCAATTTTTTTCTTGCATCCATGTTTTGTTTGATTTTTATGTATATACATGTATTTTATACATATTTAATTCAGGTTGTTGTGTGTTATCCACAATAGTCCCTCGTTTTCTATATATACATGTATTGTGTCACTATTTTCGCATCACTTTTCGTTTGTAATACTTCGACAAAGCGCTTCTATATTTGAAGGGAAACTAAAACTATTTATTTTTTATCATTCTCTGCAATCATACACTTGTGTCATGATTGCATTTATTTGTATGTCATCTCTGTTTTTCATTTCAAAAACCATGCATTAAAACGAGGATTTACTTTTATTTTTGCATAATTCACACATTTGATTTGTACTTTCCTCATGTGCTGTGCCGAAGAAAGAATATGTCAATTTTGAAATTTAATGTATTTTTGATCTTTGTACATTTCTACTATAAAACATATGCATATGGAAGTCAGTTCTTTACGTGAAAAAAATTATTAAAAATAAATTTTGGAGTTCTATAAACTTTCTTAACTTTATTGTAACACAAAGTTATTTTCCCCAGAGCTTTAAAATTAATTCAAAACGGGTAAGTTAAAAGGTAATTTTCTTTAACCAATGCTAATGGTACGGTACCTGAAAAGGAGAAAACTCCAACAAGAGGCCCATAGGGCACATCGCTCACCTGAGCATACTGGCTAGAAAAAGGCATTGAAAAGTAGGGCTTAAATTTTAAACTATTTAAAAATACTTCCAACTTCCATATCGAAAGCAATGTCTTTACTGTTCTTAAAAGTTTTTTTCCCCTATACATTCCTTTGTAAAAATTTTATCCCCACTGTGGCCCCTCCCCACCCCTGGAATCATAATTTGAACAATTTTGTGAATCTAAATTCGTTCTTGTGGTTCTTGAGAAGAAGATTTTTGAAAGATGTCATTAATTTTTCACTAATTCATAATTATCTCCCCTTGGAAGAGGGCGTGACCCTTTATGCTCCCACATAAGTTTTATCTTTCCTGGCCCAGAGGTACTTGAGAAGAAGATTTTCAAAGATTTTCCCTATATATTCCTACGTAAAACTTTGATTTTTCCGTGGTGGCCCCGCCCTACCCTCGGGGGTCATGATTTGAACACACTTGAATTTACACTACCTGAGGATGCTTCCACATAAGTTTTATTTTTCCTGGCCTTGTGGTTCTTGAGAAGAAGATTTTTGAAAGATGTCATTGATTTTTCACTAATTCATAATTATCTCCCCTTGGAAGAGGGCATGGCCCTTTATTTCTACAAATGTGAATCCCCTTTACTTAAGGATACCTTGTGGCAAGTTTGGTTGAAATTGGCCCAGTGGTTCTTGAGAAGAAGATGAAAATGTGAAACGTTTACGACGACGACTACGGAAAAATTTTGATCAGAAAAGCTCACTTGAGCATTCTGCTCAGGTGAGCTAAAACTCAAGTTTTGGCATGGTTCTTTGCAATAAAATTTTTATCTTGACTCTTAACTTTTGATTCCCGATACGGAAAAGGGGAAGATAAGACAGTGATTTAACTTAAGAAAATTATGAAACAACAAAGATCAGAACATAAACAGGATGATCGATTGGTCGAGAGCGCTATATGTATATATCGGGTTACGAAAGATTTTATTTCAAATTTAGCTTTAAAAGGTATAACAATGGACATGAACCGTGCAAGCTAGAATACAGTCAAGCGATAAGATAGCATGCTGACTTTAAACAAGGTGTTGAAATCCCTGTAACATTAACCTAGTTGTAGTTAGTATATTGTCGTGATTTAAAAACCAATCAAACGTTGAGGGACGTAATCATTTGACGATCTAAAACTAACTTTAGTCATCTCGTTAGTCAAAAAAAAAAAAAAAAAAAAATAAGGTCAAGTTTTCCGTTTTGTCTATAGTCGGTAAAACATCCAATAATGAAGCACAGGTGACAAACTGTGGTGTCTTTTATTTCAAGTTCACTAGGATATAACGAGTCTATGGAGTAAGTAAACGTTCAAAAATAGGAAGCGGATGACAGGACTGTAGTGTCTTTCATGTTAATTAAATGCACTGGGAATATCATGTCCAATACACTTAATTTTAATTGATAAAAAGTTTTAAAAACTTATAATTATTGGGTTGAAAGTCTAACCTTATGCCTGGGGTGGGTCATGATTTGAACAATCGTGGATCTACACTACCTGAGGATGCTTTTTATATTTTTTCCCTATATAAATGTTCCTGAATATGAGATTTATCTATATTGTATACACTTATTTTGATCTTTGACTATTGTATCCCCACCCTTCATGCGCCTCTGATTGTCACGATTTGAAGAATTTTGAATCTACACTACTACATGTACCTTAGGATGCTTCCATATAAATATGATTAATTAACACGTTTACCAATATGAGAGGACGAAATACAGAATAAGTGGGTAAGGGTAGGACAGAAAGTCATCTTTCAATGAAAAAATACTGTCAAGATTTGAAAAAGAAAAGGATGACTCAGAGAGCGCAATGGCTTTTGAAAGAGAGGTCTTTAAATGTGCATGTGCTAAGTAGGAGGATGATGCAATGAAACAGATTTACTAATCTTTTATATATTGATGAACGACTTATTAACGCAAAGAAAATTATTACATTTTATGTGTATCCGATAACGAGCGTTTTGATATTTCAATAAGTTTAAAATGTATGAAAACATGTAAAAAGAAACATATGGAGATAACAGTATTCAAGATCAAAAATCCATAAAGCAATACAAAGTAGCAGAGCAAACACGGACTTCCAAAACATCAGAGGTGGGATTACAATCTTGAAGGTTTCATCACACTCGTATTTTTTCTCTCCTTTGATTCTGTTGTTTAGTTTAATGTGTTTGTAGCTGTGTTCTATTATGTTCTTCTTTACTAATTTTTTTCAGAAAAAAAACCAAACTTTTCTTTCAAATTTATCGGTATGTTTACCCAAGTAGGCATAAAAAATAAATATTTTTAAAAAATAATAATTGAAATCGGAAAATATTGACACTTGATACTCCTTTCCCGTTCACAACCAAACGTCCTCTTGGTGGCATTTACACAGCTTGATGACAGGATACCGAATTTGTGATGACGAAGACGTTATAAAAAAGTCAACAATTTTAAAGATGTACAAGCAATTTTAAAGAATTGTGGTCCCTCTAAAGCCCTATCTCTCTTCATTCAAAAGTTATGGCAAATTTAAACTAATGTTTAAATTTTTAAAAAGGTCAAACTTAAAGGTCAAGGTCAGGGGGTCAAAAATTATAGTGTATTTAGAGAGATCTTGTCACAGGTAATACGTGTTATTAATATACGAAAGTCATTTCTCCTCTCATTCAAAAGATAAGACCTAAGTTAAAGTTTTTGTGACAGACTTACAGACGAATCAGAATTAATGTCCCCTAACTTTCACAAAAGCGGAAGACAAAAATGCTGACAGATAAATTGAAAAAGAATATGTAACGTGTTCTTTTCTAATACTAAATCACTCAGTTATTAATCCGAGATTGATTGATTGATTGATTGTATGTTGTTTTACGTCTCATTCCACACTTTTTCACTCATGTACAGACGTCATCAGATACCGGTCAAAGGGGACTTTTCTAGGCACTCAAGGCCTTTGATCAGTGAGGGCTCTTTATCGTGCCAACGCCTGCCATGACCTCGGTTTTTAAGGTCTCATCTTAACTCGATGGAGTTGTCCGCGTGGCGCAGTGGTTAGAGCGTCTGCTCTCGAGTCGCGAAGTAAAGAGTTGATCCTCCTTACGTCGTGGGTTCGAATCCCACTGTGGGACGTGGAGACCACTCCTTCGGATGACACCGTATAAACCGACGTCCCGTGTCGCAGTAGGTACTGGCAAGAAAAAAAAGATCCCTCCCTGCTTAATGGCCCTAAGTGCCGTATATAGGACAAAATATGCAGCTCTCCACCAGCAAGTGGTGGCATCTCCATATGAGTGAAAATTCCTCGACAGGGACGTTAAACAACGTACAAACAAAACAAATATTAACTCGATGGAACAGCATCTTTCACTTTAGGTGCCGAGCGCATGGCGAAGAAACAGTTGCTACTCATTTTTTATCGACTTTGATCAGTCGAGGCCGAGATTCGAACTCATAACCTCTCGATCACGGAGCAAGCGCTCTATTAACTTAGCTACCGTGACCGGTAAACTGAGATTGAAACTCAAAAATAATTCTAAAAATAATCGCCTGCGAAATATACATACAAGGTGATAAGATGTCAATTAAAAAAGTATAATATAATAATACATTATCTCAGAAACAAATTTAAGTATAGTTATTTTTACTGTTACCCGAGTTGGCTAGAAACAGTTTAATCACAGCTTCTTCCTCGACTACAAGGCTTACTTTAATTGAACATCCATCAGTTTAGGTGGTGACAGTCTTTTTGACTCTGTTATACTGCGTTAGTTCTGTCTACACTGCCACGTTCTTTGGTGTCTTATTTGTAATGTCCACAGACTGTTCGTGGGAAAGTAAGTGCAGACATAGTTGGTTCAATCGTATGAAATTGAGGTTCAGGTATTGAGCTTCTTCTCAATTCGGAAGCAAGCATTGTTTGAACTCTAAGTTGAGAACTTTGCACGAATGAATATTTCGGGCATGTTTCTTTTTCACGACTCTCCGAAGAAAAAGTGAATCATGTATCTATTCTTTCTCAACAACTGAATTTCTATTAGCTAAATACTCACAAGGTTCTTCATCGCCGTTTACAAATCTATCGTCAGGTACAACGCTACCTTTATTCTTGTCTTCTGCGTCACTGATATTTAGACTTGAAATCATTAATTCGTCACGAAGACTAGACATAGCAGCTGGACTCTTCTCATTGTGCTCATTTTTGTCAGTGGCCCGTGAACACAGTGATTAGAGCGTCTGCTCTAGAGTCGCGAAATAAGGAGTCAATTCTTAAGTCGCGGATTCGAATTCCACTGTGGGACGTGGAGACCAGTCATTGGGATGAGCGTATAAATCGACGTCTCGTATTGCAGTAGGTGCTGGCACGAAAAAGATCCCTCAATGCACAATGGCCATGAGTGCCGAGCATAGGACAAAATTTGCAGCTCTCAACCAGCAAGTGGTGGCGTCTTCATATGAGTGAAAATTTCTCGAGAGGGCCGTTAAACAACATGCAATCAGTCCTACATGGACTTACACTTCTTGTGTCTGTTCAAATAAGTTCTTAATGAAACAACAAAACACTTATTCCATTTAAACAATTTTCTTGCTGTTTTCTTCCGCACTCTAGAACATGTTTGAGCAAGGCTTCTCGACTTTATGTGGAAAATGCACACACATCAGACAATCCGTTAGCTCTTTCCTGGGAGTCGCTTTTTGGTGATAACCATAATGTAATTCTGCAAAGAGAAAAACTATTGACTGACAATGCTCTAGTACAATGTAGAGTCAATCACCTAAGC